GAAATTGAGACTTGAACACAATTTGTGTCGGAAATGGATTAGTTTGTAGAATGACGTTGTTGATCCGGACCAAGTGGTTACCATCAAAAGTCGATCGTTTTGAACAACCCGAATGCCTACAGAAATTGTGACTCCTCTGTACTAAGCGCCAAAGAAAGAGATGTGTGTCTGCATACGCACACAGACATAATTACCATATTTCGCCATGGATTGTCGTTAATTTAGATTTGCTTTTCCGGTACTTTCTAGCCCCCAGAGTATTTTTTCTCTCTCCTCCATGGGTGGAATGCATCGCCTAAATTGACCGAGATTCACAAAACAGCTTAATGAATGCAAGTATGTCTAGTGTCCAGGCGTGATACATGTGATTGAGGCTCGTTTGTTGGCTTAGACTTTAGAGTCATTGTCAACAGTCTACCAAGATTTATAGACCATGCTCAGTCGAAAGAACAAAAGATTTATCAAGACACTTGCCCTGCCAAATCACGAGTACTGATAGAAAGAGAGCGACCCAAGCCTTTCAGTTTGTACTGGTCGATGCAAAATATCATTTATCACAGTGACCAAGTGGCGAGAGAAATGCAAATGCAAACCATCGTAGGTTTAGGCAGAATACTCCAGTTGGTTTGTCCTGTTTTATTGCTGTTCTGTCTTGTGTAGTAAACCATAAACGGGTCAACCTCCGTAGCCACCTAAACCTACTCTTCATTTTGAGGGGAATTGGGAACATCAAGCCCTGGGGTTTGGAGCGATCAACCGGATATGACCCAAATTCGATGAGGATATTATTTAGTCATAGAAATATAGTGTTAAAATTATATTTCATACCAACCACGGTACAATAATCTTAGTAAAAGAAGAACGTTCCATGATTTGCTCGTGTCCGCGATACTGGCTGATTGCCGAGGTCAAGGTAGATGTTTTCTCTTTGGGGAATAATAAACAGAGCCGTCGACTGGTCAAAGTGTGACCCATTGGTTATCGGGGCGGTGTGTGAAAACCGCTATCGATTAGGGACCGGTGTTCAGTTCATCGGATCATGCGTCCTTTGAACGGGGTCGAACGTCCAAGGTGCGCACTATACCTCGGTACTCAATCGGGCCTCCTCAACAGAGGCTATTCGAGCCGCTTGGTTGTATAGGGACATTTCGCGAGGTGCAAGGTAGAGGGTGACCAGTCACAACCCAAGACTTTCAGCTACGATCATACTGAGGCTTTCTGAGACATGGTATTCATGTAATTTTTAATTTTGGTTGATGTGCATACGCTTTATCAGACGCCATCGTACGCAGTTGTTACAGATCCACCTCTCGGGAGTGGTTATCTTATTCTTTTGTTTATTTTACACGATTGTTTCCTGCTAGGACGTGAATCGCCTCCCAGTTATCTCAGATAATAACTTTCCGTTTGCAGCCATCCGTTATGAAGTCTATACAGACGCTGATTCAATGGGTTCTGTAACCGGAATTTAGTAGATCTACTGTAAGCCTAGGCGTTCGTCCTTTTCAATATGTTCACCTATGTCCTAAACTGCTTCCCAGGTATCCATAGAAGAATCATCACTGGTTGTGATACGTAATAGCGTCCCCAGCACCATTCGACATTTTATTCGAGGGTGTACTTCTAGCCTTTGCTCAACCGAATGCAAACACCAGAATAATATATCATTAGAACACTTTTAAACACCTTAACTACATTTATTTATCCCATCTGTTGTGCGGTTTAGGGGATATGGCCACTGTTCACTGGCTAGCAGCTTATCGAAGTCACATGGGAGACCTGGGTCTCACGTAAACGTCAAAAACTGGTGGAGTGTCGCGGTAGACTACCCAGTCCCCCAATTAAAGGCGCTACTTCTCCTTGTCCCTGTTACCGCTGGTTCTCGGTGCAATGCTTCCAGCGAAGCTAACAGAACACAAACGTCACTGATTTTCATTGAATAAACTGAGCTCAGTAGTCTACTAGAGTCTCATTTGAGAGTATGCTGCTGGCACATCTTTATACTCATTTGCTGATGTCCATCTTATTGATTGATTCTTTCAATGCTTGATTAAATTTTTGATTTGGCTGATATTCTGAATGAATTGCTGTGTGGTGAAGATACATTTACCATCATCCACTCGAGACGCATTCTGCTTTTGTGGTGAGATTTTCTCTCTTCTGAATTCACAGTCCAATCACTCTTGCATTCCTTTCTTTGGCTTTCGAGTTTCTACTGTCTGAGGACTAGCGTCACATGGAGTGGGCGTACTCAAGAAAATGGTTTTCCGACCATCCAACAATCCAGTTAGGTTGGGCGAATAATTCGGTGGTTTGATGGCTTTCTAAGGTTTAGTGTTTTGTGCCTTAAACGTAAGTACCATTGTAGTTCATACGCGGGATCACTGTGATCTCGCGCTCTAGTGTTTATGTATCACATCCGTTTTGGTCATTTGTTCACTACCACTCGGTTCAATTCCACACCTATCCCGTTGGATGCCTTATATGGTCCATCGCTCTAAGGTGTGTTTAGGTAGCCGTATCTGGGATTTGAACGGTAGTTCCTAGCGACGACTCCATTCAAACGGTGTGCAATCAATAACTCCCTTGATATTCCTCACCTCTCACCGTTTTTGCTTTAGACGAACGAAACACACCAAGTATTGCATTGGCACTATACCAATTGGCCCGACTTCGGTGTCCCATGTTCCCCCAGTGGATTACTCAATTTCCTGTGGACCGTACGTAATTCGGGAGCTTTGGACGATCCAGAACATCCCACGGTAATACACTGCAGTGCCGGTGTGGGACGCTCTGGTGCTTTCGTCCTCATCGATCTGGCTCTTTATCTGGTGAGTTCCCCGGTGTTTGTTCGTTATCCGCAGATCATATCAGTTTTTGTGGTAAAACAGGTTTAGGTTGTAGACAGAACACTGATTTTTTACAGCATGCCTACTTGTGAACTGTCCACTCACATTCGACGAGTTTACTTTGCTCTGCTCCACCTCAAATGAACTTTGGTTTCGATAATAGCCTGTGTTCATTTCAGGTCAGTCCGCACAACACTGCACTTTCCAGTTACGGTTTTTAGTTGCCATCTGTTGGCCACCCATCTGGACGGATAAATAGAGAAAAGGAGAATAAAACTGAAAGCGACACCATAGTAATGATCCATCACGACGAAACTGCACCTTGACGTGATGTGATGGCTTGTGCACCTCTGTGACCCAACAAGATACACAGGATGGCTTTTGTCAAGCCAGATCTTATTATGCCTGGAAGGTTAAAGGGTAGAGGTCAGACGAAGTTCAGTCTCCTGGTCTTCCAGGTTGGGGGTTTCAGTCGGTAAAAAATGGCGGAGGAATAATCGATCCAAGTAAATGGGCTTCCACTTCCCTTCACTCTCTGCCTTGCGGTTGGGTTCTTGTTAGAACTAAGGGCTTTGGACGAGAACCCTAATCGTTCTCCTGCTTAGTGGCTGAACACCCTAGCAGTGCCCGTCCATCAAACCCCAATACATACACAAAATAAAAACAATTTCATACTCCATCAGTCGTCGCCCAAGATAATCAGGACCGCGCTGCCCATTGCATCGAGCAGGGTGGGTAGTGATAAGTGGGCTACTGCTGAGATATCCCAACCTTTGTTTAATTATTTGTCTTCAGTACTCAGCCCTCTCCCTTTTCCCCTTCTTCCGACCTGTAATAGCCCCTCATGCAACTTAGATGTCGCCCGCCAAAGATCGTTGCCAAATAGCACTGTATTATATCTCGAAACGAATTGCAGATTCTAGAGCCTCGTCAATTACTGAATCTGGGTGCCTTCAACGTGAGAACACTGATGCAGATAGGTCAACAAGCTTGTCTGGCGCGTACAATGGAATCCTTGGGGATCGATATTTGCTGTGTTTCGGAGACTCGTATCCAGAATCCTACTACTGTAAGCCACTGGAGCGCGCCAGATTTGTCTTCGAGATGTTCTTCGCACATCAGGCGACGACGAAGCCCGCTCAGTGGGTCAGAGCGGGGTAGGTATTGTACTCAGTAACAGGGCGGAGTCCTCTCTTATCGAATGAATCCCCGTCAACAGTCGTTTATGTGCAGTGCGTCTCCAGGGTTCAATCAGCGTCCGGAAGGGAAGTAACACCGAAAGGTGTTTGTTCATCGTATCAGCATATGCACCGACTAATTGCAGTTCTGATACCCAAAAGGACGCTTTCTACGATGAACTCACGGATCTCATTCGGATGAGTCAAAGCTCCGACATAGTTGTACGTGCAGGAACTTCAACGCGCAGGTTGGAAAACTGAGCGCATCAGAAGCTTGCTTAGGCGGTAGTTGTTCTCTACGCTACCAACGAACAGATAACGGCGATCGACTTCTTCAGTTCTGCGCAGACCACCACTTGTTCCTATCAAGCACCAACTTTCAACACAGCTCTCGACGGACGGCAACGTGGCGCTCCAGTTCAACTGGTACGCTAACTCAAATCGACAGCCACCGTTTTTGTGACTGAGTGCAAAATTGCAGGTCCTATTGGACCACCTGCGTTGAGTCTGACCACGCATTCGTTTTGATGCAGTTCACTCTCCGACTGACTGGTCGGCGACGAAACCAGCAAACTAGTACAGCTCATCATCGGCTGTCTGTTCCAGCAGTCAGTGTACGCTATGAATCAGAGCTAGTGCGTGAGCTAAGAGCGCCTCAACGTGGTGATGTAAATGAGCAGTGGGATCAAATTAGGCGAGCAATGCATTCCACAGCGAATGTTGCATGTGGGTTTGAGCCTCAAACCTGTCGGAGGCATTGGATATCTCAGGAGTCAGTAGTTTTGATGGAGGAAAAACGACAAATCCCGACCTTCCAGGACCAAAATAGAGTTATGTGTCAGCTCACGAAGAGCCGCAAGAAGGACCATGAGAACTAGCGGGCAGCAACAGCTAGTGAAATGGAAGTAGCGGCTGCATCAGCGAATANGAATAGTCAATGACTGTTCCAACCGATACGCTATACGGGAGGTCGGTGAACTCCAGTTAGTGAAAAGTCTGCGATAAGATGGGACAAGCTATTCACAATAGGGATCAACGACTCGATCGCTGGGTAGAATACTTCAGCGAACAGTTCAGCTGGCCTGGTGCTAACTAGGCTGCTTCATCTCCAACTGAAGCTCCGTGGGCAGTGTCATGCGATCCTCCAGCAGAAGCAGAAGTTCGGTCTTGTATTCAAGCTCTGAGGCGAGGCAAGGCAATAAGACCGGATGAGTTTTCTCCCACTCTATTCAAGATGGGCGTCGATAACCTCGTAACCTCTATTACTACCTTACTGCGCAACATTTGGACGCAAGAACACATTCCTTTATCTTGGGGCGAATCACTGATGGTTCCCATTTTCAAGAAAGGATGTCACAACGACTGAAAACCACTGCGGGATCAGTTTGGTTCCGATCGTCACCAAAGTGCTTCGTTTATGCTTCGGCGTCTGACGCTTTTAAGAGAGACCAACATCCGTGAACAGCAAGCCGGATTTCGGCCTGGCCGTGGATGTGTTGATCAAATTTTTAGGTTGCACCAGACCCACCGTCGGCCAACGATCNCTCAGTTGACCGCGAAGCTCTGATGGGCTCCTTTCTTCGAAAAGGACTGCCCCAGAAGTACGTTAACCTACGGAGGTCACTGTACTCACAGACCTCCGGTCGTGTGAGGGTTAACAAAAATCCAAGTAGACTGTTCCTCACCAGCCGCGGCGTCCGTCAAAGATGCCCTCTTTCGCCGTTCCTGTTCGATTTCGTCGTTAAAACGAAATACTAGAGAACGCACTAAGTGGACTCCAAAACGTATGTACTAAATGGGCAACTGGAGAAAAACTGTGTGATTTAGAGTACNATGACATCGCCTGTCTGTTCGAATGTATGGAGGACGCGCAAAGCGCAAGTGATAGATTAATAAGTGCAGTAGCCACATTCGGTATGTGCTTTGCTCCTTCAAAGTGCAAAGTGATGCAGCAGGACTGGGTTTCGTTTACTTCCGATCTGAAACTAAATGGCCAGGATTAAGTTATGGTAAATTACTTCTCCTTCTTAGGTAGTTGCGTGACCAATGACGGTGATGCAGCAAAGGAGATAACCGCCCGCGTTTCCAAGGCTCAAGCAGCATACGCAGGACTGGAACACCCTTGGCGTAGACGCGTCGTTTCACTGAAGTTGAAAGGTCGTGTATATTGTGCTAGCGTTCGTTCAGTTCTGCTTTATGGTTGTGAGACCCTGAATTTGCGAGTAGAAGATATCCGTCGACTGGAAGTTTTCGATTATCGGTGTTTACGCAGTTTATCCCACGTTGGATGGAGCGAACGGGTTAATAATATGGAGGTAAGCCGTTGTGTGTTTGGGAGTGTATCAACTATGAACCTGGTAGCACACCGAATTCAGATTACTAGGCTTCGGTGGCTAGGGCGCGTATTGCGTATGTGCAGCTGTCTGCCGCACCGCGCTTCATTCGCGGTAGCTAATTCGGGCCGGAGAAAACCACGTGGAGGTCCACGGATGACGTGGAGACGAGGCATGATGAAATGCATAGAGCTATTAGGTAGAGTAGGTGTCTATCGTCTTCTAGTTTGGGGTCCGACAGACTTCACAACTGGTTGGTTGGAGACATTGAAAGATATGGCAGCGAACTGATATCAGTGGCGTTCTTGTTGTCATTTCTTATTAAGACAGAATACTTCAAAACGGTATGTTTGCAGAGTTCGATTGTACACTCTGTCTTGACCATAGAGATTCAGCTTCTCCCCCCTCTCCCAAAATAGGTCCAATCCCTGTCCATCTTAAATTTTACCATTAACCGTGTATGTAATATAAGTTTGGCAACGATCAGTGAAGTTTGCCTCACTGTACTTCGCTGTTCGATGATGATGATGATGATGAGTGATGATGCGGAATGCAGTTAAACTAAATTAAAGAAATTAAGTGTGTGCTCAGGCATCATTGTTAGACGTGGTCGAGGTTGTCTCGATCATATCTTCACTCTTCGCCAAACTCTGAAGCACCCACATCCATTTCATAGACCCACCACCTCTGTCTTTCTGGATATGAAAGCGGCTTTCGACTCAGTCGACCGCTCTAAACTCTGGCGCTGCCTTTCCCTGAAGTGTATGACCGATAACTTAATTTCAATATTACGACCACTTTATACCAATAGCGAAGTCGAGTCCAAGCCTACGGCACATTTCACCAAAGTTCACCGCAGAAAGGTCTATTCGTCAGGGTTGCCCTCTCTCTCTGTCCATTTCTATTCACTTTTTTATAGATTTGATTATGGAAACACCTCTATCCTCGTGCGAGGATAGTGGCGTCGATTTACTCCCAGATAGCAGGTTATCTGATCTGGAATATGTAGACGACATTGTGCTACTAAGTGGACAGCTTGAGTGCACCTTCAAAGTGTAAAATGTTGCTACAAGATTGGATTGGTCCAGCATCCAGCCTCACTCTCACAAGGGAAGTAATTGGGCAGGTGGATAAGTTTTGTTATCTGAGCAGCTACATCTCACTCGGTGGACGTATCGCAGATGAAGTGTCAGCTCCCATACAGAAGGCTCGGTTGGCATTTGTCAACTTGAGATATCTGTGGCGCCTCGCGACATCTGGCTGTCTGTGTGGGGTCGAGTGTATGCTGCAGCAGTTCGATCAGTTCTGCCATAAGGTGCAGAAACTTGACCATTAGGGAAACGGTGTTTGAACAGCGCTGTCTACGTAGCATTGCACAAATCTGGTGGGGCAGCCGGAAGAGCAATGCTGAGGTCAGGCGAAAAGTTTTAGGCAACCGCGGTCGCTTACTGGAGCAAGTGGTCGACCTCTATAGATTACGTTGGTTGGGGCATGTGTTACGCATGCCACCAGATAGGTCGCCCCAGCGAGCAATGTTCGCCGAGGCAGGTAATGGGTGAAAAAATGTCAAGGGCGGTCAAAGGAAGACCTGGAACGAGTGTATGAAAACTCTAACGAGAGGTCTGGGTCACATAGGTCCCGTTAGGCTCCCTGGCTGGAAACCTCACGATGATCGTAACCGATGGTTAGAGACACTGAGTGATATGGCTGGGTGTTGTAAAAAGTGGCGTTCGTGCATCGTCTCATTTTTCCGCATCATTATTTCACTGAAATTCTCAATTTTCTCTCCGATACTACTTTCAACTTTCCTGTTTTCCTTCTGTTGTTCACCCCAGTGGGCAGCTAAAAGACGGTAACTAAAAGCGTCGCACGGAACTGCATGCTTTATGGTTGTTTAAACTGAAACTGACACTACCAGGTCTTAGTTAGACTTCCTACGATCTATTACGTGTCTCCGCCAAGATCACACGCCGAGGGAGTTTATCTAGTGTCGTTTGTAACACACCCTAGCCATCTTAATCTGTGGTGTGACCTTCACAGCACTTACTCCAGAGCATGATCTCGGTTACATATAACTCAGCCACTATCCTGCACAGCACTCGAGTGACGTGTCGTACACAGTGATGTTCAAATACTGTTAGTCAATTGTTGTCTTCTTCTCGTCACAGCCATGTTTCCACATCGTATAGGAGGGAGAACCAGGCGAACAGCTACAGCATACACAGGATCCTTTATGGACATCCGAATTCCGCGACGGTGCCGTAGTTTTTCCAGGTACTAAACACTAATTGAGGGTCCCATTTGTTTGCCGAAATTTTGTCTTTATTGTGGTATTTCGATCCTACTGTAGTGGAGCCATACATGAACCTACGGACATCGAGCACGGTCTATTTGTTTCATTTCGTTTGTTTT